GGCCTGGTGCACTGGGAAGACCCAGAGGGATCGGGTGGAGAGGGAGGTGGGAGGGGGGACCGGGATGGGGAATACATGTAAATCCATGGCTAATTCATTTCAATGTATGACAAAAACCACTGCAGTGTTGTAAAGTAATTAGCCTCCAACAAATAAAAATAAAAGGAAGGAAAAAATAAATAAATAAATAAATAAAATAAAATTATTTATTGAAATAAAAAATTTCAATTGTTTATTTATTGAAATAAAAATTAAATATGCATATTAACAAAATAAAAGCAAATAACTCATATGATTGCTATAATAAGATGAAGAAAAAGCACTTGATAAAATCCAACAAATAACCATAATAAGGAAAAAAATCCTCTTAAAAATTCTAGGATTAGAAAGGAACTTACATAGCCTGATAAAGGGCAACTTCAAAAAGTTACAGCTAACATCATACTTAATGGTACATTTTTTTTGCAAGGCAGGCATGTCCACGCTCACCACTTCTATTCAACATTGAACTAAATAAAGGTCTTTGACTGTGAAATAAGGAAAGGAAAAGAAATAAAAGTATGAGATTAGAAAGGAAGAAGTAAAAGTGCCCTTAAAGTGATGATTACTTAGATGAAAAACCCCAAGGAATCTACAAGAGAATTAATAGGTGGATTTAGAAATGACTGCTAGTGCAGGAGACACAGGTTCACTCCCACAAGGAACTAAGATCCCACAAGCCATGGGGCAATGAAGCCTGTGTGCCACAACAACTGGGCTTGCACCCTAGAGCACACGACTTGCAACTACTGAGCCCACACACTGAAACTACTGAAGCCCGAACACTCTAGACTCTGTGCGCCACAACAAAAGAAGCGACAGCTACAAGAAGCCTGCGAGTAGCAACGAAGACCCCACACAGCCAAAAGTAAATAAATTAATGCCTCAGGATATAAAGTCAATGTACAAAAATAAATCTCTAGCAATTTATACTAGCAATAAATAATCTGAAAACATTTAAAAATGCTATTTATAACAGTATCAAAAACATCAAATGCCTAGGGGTAAATTTAATGAAGGATACATAAAACTTTTATACGAAAATTATAAAACATTGCTGAAAGAAATCAAAGATCTAAATATATGTAGAAAGTTGCTATATTCATGGATTAGAAGGCTCAATATTGTTAAGATGTCAATTCTCTTAAAACTGATCTTAGAATTAATGCCAAACCAAATCCCAGCAAGTTTTTTTCCAAAAAATTAAAAACTGATTATAAAATTTATATGGAAATGCAAATGACCTAGAAGAGTCAAAGTAATTTTTTGAAAAAGTCAACCTGGAGAACTTACTCTACCTGACTGCAAGACTCATTATAAAAGCTATAGTAATAAAGTATGGTGGAGGACAAGGAAGCTTGACGTGCTGCAGTCTGTGGGGTAGCTAAGAGTCGGATGTGACTGAGTGAATGAACAACAACAAATAAAATAGGGGTCTGCCAAAAGGACAGTGTGTTAACTCTATTTTCTTATTTTCTGTATTCTTGATGCTCTAGCATCTGACGCCTAGCTGATCCTGGAGAGACTGCCTCTCCCAGACCAAGTTATTTCCTAGAGACAGCAAGTGACTTCCCTGTAAGTATACCTACCATATGCAAACCAACAAATCCAGAGCCCATATCCACCAACTATCTCCTTTTTCAAGATCTCACAGGTTGAGCCACTAGACCCCTCCCCTAATCACCTCAGGCTGGGTACCAGGCAACTAAGGATAGTCTCTACACTACACCCCAGAGTCCACTGAAATTACTCAAACTAGCTAACTCTAAACCTTTCCAGCCTGCTTATTCTACCTCACCCATTCTTTCCTATGAAAATCATAATAAAGGCTGTTGCCCATGCTTTTCCCCTACAACTTCTACCTCTTGATTGACTTTAGTGCTCCCTGGTGTGACTCTGCACGGTGTGGTATGCCTTTTTCTCTTGGAAGCTGTTACAAACTATTTTCAATGGCAGTTGTCTCCAGATATGTTGGCCTCACCATACCTGAATAATAATAAAACCTTCATTTTAAAATAGAAATGGCTCAGCGGTAAAGAATCTGCCTCCCAGTGCAGGAGACACAAGAAACGTGAGTTCAACCCCTAGGTCAAAAAGATCTCCTAAAGGAGGAAATGGCAACCCACTCCAGTATTCTTACTTGGAAAACACCATGGGCAGAGGAGCCTGGCAGGCTGCAGTTCATGGGGTCACAAAGAGTGAGACATGGCTGAGTACAAGCACGAGTTGAGCTGAGTTGAATAGCTCAATTAAACAGAACAGAAAGTCCAGAAATAGGTTCACATATGTGAAATCAATTGATTTTAATAACTGTGCCTAGGAAATTCAGTGGGAAAAAAGTCTCAACAAATGGTTCTGGAACAACTGAATATCGTATTGAAAAAAATGAACATCAACCCTTACATTAAACACAAAAATGGATCAAAGACCTAAACTTGAAAAGCTAAAATGATAAACTGTATAGAAGAAAATATGAGAATATTTTTGTGACCTTGCAATGTTGTTCAGTCGCTCAGTCGTGTTAGACTTTGCAACCCCAGGGACTGCAGCACGCCAGGCTTCTGTCCTTTACCATCTCCTCGAGCTTGCTCAAATTCATGTCCATTGAGTGAGTGATGCCATCCAACCATCTTGTCCTCTGTCATTCCCTTCTCCTCCTGCCTTCAATCTTTCCCAATATCAGGGTCTTTTCTAATGAGTCAGCTCTTCACATCAGGTGGCCAAAGTATTGGAGCTTCAGCTTCAGCATCAGTCCTTCCAATGAGTATATAGGATTGATTTCTTTTAGGATTGACTGGTTTGATCTCCTTGCAGTCCAAGGGACTCTCAAGAGTCTTCTTCAACATCACAGTTCAAAAGCATCATGGCACTCAGCCTTCTTTATGGTCCAACTCTCAAATCCATACATAACTACTGGAAAAACCATAGCTTTGAGTATATGGACCTTTATTGGCAAAATAATGTCTCTGCTTTTTAATATGCTGTCTAGGTTTGTCATAGCTTTTCTTCCAAGGAGCAAGGACCTTGCAGTAGGCAAAGATTTATTAAATAGGTCATAAAAAATACTAAAACTTTTTTTAAAGATGATAAATTAGACTCCATAAAAATTAAAATATTTTTCCTTTGATAGGCACCAGTAAGAATAAAACTGTAAGGTACATATTGGCAGTACATATATCTGGCTTAGAACTTGGATCGAGCAAATATAAAAAACTCTTATACCTCAATAAGAAGAAGACACACAACCATCCCCCCCCCCAATGGGAAAGATATTTCAATAGACAGTTCACAAAAAATGTACAAATGATAATAAGCACATGAAGATACTTAACATTATTACTCATCAGAGAAATGCTGCTTACATTCATAAGATACCATTACATATCCATTCTAATAGCAAAGTTTAAAGAGACTGATGATAACAAGTATAGGCAAGGATTTGGGGCAATAGAATTTCTCATGTATTGCTGTTGGGAATGTAAAGTCATTTTGGAAGACAGTTCGGCAATTCTATGAAATTATAAGAAAGGTAAGCAAACACTGATTATAATATAAGAGCAACGCTAACCCTAAGCATTTACCCAAGAAAAATGTAAACATATGTTCACACAAAGACAAATCAGAATGTTTACTGCAACTTTAGTCGTAATAACCAAATAATGACCACTTGTCATTAACAGGCATAGAGATAAAAAAAGTATAATGGAACAGTATTCACTATTTAAAAGGAACTATTTAATAGTCATACCATGGAATAGTATCCACTATTTAAAAGAAACAAACTAGTGATATACTCAATAACATGAATGAATTGCAAAATCATTATGCTGAACAAATAAAGCCAGGCCCAAAAAGGTACAAATGGAATGATTCCATTTATATGCAACACTAATAAAGGCAAATCTAGTCTATAGTGACAAAAAGTAACTCAGTGGTTGCCTGGGGCCGAAGTGGTGTTGAGTATTAACTACAAGGGGCATGAAGGTGCATTTTTGTGTGATAGAGTACACAAACTGGGGTGGTACTTATACCAGTGTGTACCTTTGTCAAAACTCACCAAACTCTACACTTAAAATGGATACCTATTATGGTATGTAAATTATACCTTAATAAAGTTGATTTTAAAAGAAAATGCTAGGTGACAGGGATCATAAAGTGAGAAGATGGAAGACAGGCATGGAGATTAGGGGAGGTGAAGAGAAGTAAGGAATCTGAAAGCAATATCTACGAAGAGAAAAGGAGGTGGGGCTGGTTGTAGATGAGTTTGTTGATATCTTAGAGTAAGAAGATGAAAACAAGAGAGAAAAGAAGCTGAAAGGGAACCAGGTAGAACAGGAGTGAGGCAACCAACTGATCTTCAAAGAAGGCAAATCCATTAAAACCTCAATGTATACAATAAGGATCTAAGACCTTGGGAGTGGGGTTTCAGTACTAAAGCATAAAAATATGATGGAAGGAGAAAACATCCAAGAAAGCCAGATCCATAGTGAGGAAATCTGGCATATGATCCAGAGTATAGGTACTGTAGCAATTCTCCTGGAGGGAAGCTAAGCCAAGAAGGCAGTTGATAGCAGTAAGGGAAATACAGGGAAGAGCAGTTTGGTACCTCAGAGGTCAAGGAGTTTCTAAAGTTTTGAACCTTCAAGAAGGGCAGCAATCACAGCACTTTAAAGGTACTGGTCTCAAGTATTTCCATGTCTCCCTTCTGCCAGGATCACACTCACCTGAGCAGCTGTGATGTAGGGTTTTTTTCTTCAGTGCCCAAGGTTCCTCTCCTTGCTCCAACTTGAATATGACCTCTGGTTTGGGAACTTCATACCCTGTTAACAGGAAATGATAGAAAATGGGGTCCAGCTAATTGCTTTCCATGTGTTCTTTGGAAAAGTAACATTTCATTGGAAAAACAGTAATAACCATGAATGGGAAAAGGGACTGAAGAATCTCAGGCAAATCAAGGATGACACCATCACACACTTCAGATGCCCCAGAGCACTTAGCAGCTGAGAATGGAAACCACCTCACTGAGGTTCTGTGTTAGTTCCCTGGAGCTTCTGTAAGAAAGTACCAAAAACTCCCTGGAGAAGGAAATGGCAACCCACTCCAGTATTCTTGCCTGGAAAAGTCCATGGACAGAGGAGCCTGGTGGGCTGCAGTCCATGGGGTTACATGACTGAGCATTCGGGCATGAGGGTGGAGGGAGATGGGTTGGTAGCAATAAACTGGTAGAACTTAAAAAAAAAAAGAAAGAAAGTAACAAAAACCAGGTGACTTAAAACAACAGAAATGTATTATCTGACATTTCTGGAGGCTAGAATTCTGAAATCAAGGGGTTAGCAGTGTCATGCTCACTCCAGCAGATATAGGGGAGAATCCTTCCTTGCACCTTCTAGCTTCTTTTATCTGCCAAAATCTCTGGTGTTCCTTGGCTTGTAAGTGTATTTTAATCCAGTTCCACAGCTATCTTCTCCCTGTGTGTCTTCTTACTGTCTTTCCTCTATGTGTGCCTATTTCTGTGCCCAAATCTCCCTTTAAAAAAAAAAAAGATACCACTCAGGTTAGGGCCCACCCCAATGACCTAATTTTAATTTGATCCCCTCTGTAAAGATACTACTCTCAAATAAAGGCACATTCTCAGGTACTGGGGGTTAAGATTTTGACATCTTTTTTGAGGGGTCACTATTCAACCAGTAAGAACATGCCCCTTGATCCCTCCAAATTCACATCTTTCCCATATATAAAATACATTAACCCCATCCCAATATCCCCAAAAGTCTTTTAATTATCCCAGCATCAACTCTTAGGTCTAAAATCTCATCTAAACATCAACCCAGAGTCTCAGATCTCATCATCTAAATCATCTGAATCTTATGGGTAAGGCTTGAGTATGAGTCATTCTGGGACAAAATTCCTCTCCATGCATATCTATGAAAGCAGATGCGTTACCTGTTTCTAAAATATTCCAAACACAATGGTGCCACAGGCATAGGACAGATACTCCCATTCCAAAAGGGAGAAATTAGAATTTAGAAAGGCATGGCAGGTCTCAAGTAAGTCTGAAACCGAGCAGGGCAAATTCCATTAGGTTTTAAGTGAAAGCTAAAGTCACTCAGTCGTGTCTGACTCTTTGCAACCCCATGGACCATACAGTCCATGGGATTCTCCAGGCCAGAATACTGGAGTGGGTAGCCTTTCCATTCTCCAAGGGATCTTCCCAACCTAGGGATTGAACCCAGGTCTCTTGCATTGCAGGCAGATTCTTTACCAGTTGAGCCACAGCTTGACAATAATCCTCAATGGTTCAATGCTCTGTCCTCCAAGCCCACCAAGATGGTAGCCCCATCCACTCAGCCCTGGGCCAGGAGTGGCACCACTTACTATCACTCCTAGTGGCCCATTAGCAAAAATTTTGTTTCCTGTACTGGCGATCTTATGCTCTGCTGTTCCACATGCCTTAGTTCCAAAGGAAGAAATACTTCTACCAAGAGACACAACACTGATTCTATTAAACTGGAAGATAAGTCTGCCACCTGGACATCTTGGTCTTTTCACGTCTCTGAATCAACAGGCAAAGAAGGGAGTTACCGTGCTGGCTGGGGTGGTTGACCCTGACTACCAAGGGAAAACTGTGGTCTGCTATATCACAATGGAAATAAAGAAGAGTATGTCTTAGTGCTTGTTTTAGCAGTGAAGTGAAGTGAAAGTCACTCAACCATGTCTGCCCTTCAGATTTGCCAGTCCCCACAACTGGGTGAACTGGTTCCTTAAAATAAATCTCTCCCCTACTTTGTCTTTATGTACACACATGCATGCACAAGTGTGTGTATACTCTCTATAAGTATATATCTATATCCTATTGGTTCCATTTCTCTGGAGAACCGTAATACAGAGTTTGATACTAACAGTGACTCTAGAGTAGTGGTCCCCAACCCTTTTGGCACCAGCGACTGGTTTCGTGGAAGACAATTTTTCCGTGGATGGGGGTGGGGGGATAGTTTCATGATGATTTCAAGCGCACTAGGATTTGCGCTCTTATGAGAATCTAATCTGACAGGAGGTGGTGCTCAAGTGGTAATGCCAGCAATGAGGAGCAGCTATAAATACAGATAAAGCTTCGCTTGTTCGCTGCCTCTCACCTCTTGCTCTGTGGCCCAGTTCCTAACAGCAGGCCATGGACCAGTACCGATCCATGGCCCGGGGGTTGGGGACCCTACTCTTGAGGAAAGGAATCTCAAGTATGAGTTTTCTGAATTGGTTATGGGATTTCTGGAATTGATTCTTTATTCTGATTAAATTCAAAAGCACTAATGACTCTATTTCCAGTAGTAAGGAGAGAGGTGTGACAGGACAAAGGAGATATGCAAACTATCCAGAGGGATCCGGTGGAGAGGAAGGTGGGAAGAGGGATTGGGATGGGGAATACATGTAAATCCATGGCTGATTCATGTCAGTGTATGGCAAAAACCACTACAATACTGTAAAGTAATTAGCCTCCAACTAATAAAAATAAATGAAAAAAAAATAAAATTAATTAAAAAATTTAAAAAAGAGAGATATGCAAACTATCAACATTGGATACTCCTAATTGAATGCTTATAAGAGGTGAGGTTCTGGATGAACTTGTATTTGACACTTGGAAATTTTGTCAAACTTACAAGTATAGTAAGATTGTCTGGTTGCTCCTAATTGCACTGGACAAAGTGGGGAAAGAAAAGGATGAGCTCAGGGGTCTGATTTTCCAGATCAAGCATAACATGAATGACCTAAAAATTTCTCAGTCTGTCCTGAAAATAACTGTTAGCTTCTGGAGCTGCAGAGCTGAGTTTACTGAAAACCAAACCCAGAGTCTCAACCTGTGAATGGCTAAATTACAAAATAAATTGAATCCCCAACCTCACAGGGTGTCTGCTGTTAAAGGAAGGCATTGATGAGGAAGGAACAGGATCCTGAAAAGTGGAATGGGAACATATGAGGACAATGAACCTCTAAATTTGAATGAGTCTTTGCCAGTGGAAGCAGCCCTTCCACCTTCAACTGAGAAGTTAAACCCCCGTCTGCCTGAGGAGCCTGCAATGGCCTCCCCTGAGGGACTTGCCTTGTAAGGCACTGCAGATTCCCCTCAGGACCTACACCACCACCTGTCTTTGCTTCTAGACCTATAACTAAACTTAAGTTCACCAAGCCCCAACTCAAGGAGATCAAACCAGTCAATCCTAAAAAAAGAAAAAAAATCAATCCTGAATATTCACTGGAAGGACTGATGCTGAAGCTCAAGCTCCTGTACTTAGGCCACCTGATGCAAAGAGCTGACTCATTGGAATAGACTCTGATGCTGGGAAAGATTGAGGGCAGGAGGAGAAGGAGGCGATGGAGGATGAGATGGTTGGATGGCATCACCAACTCAGTGGACATGAGTTTGAGCAGACTCCAGGAGACAGTGAAGGACATGGATCCCTGGCATGCTGCAGTTCATGGGGTTGCAAAGAGCTGGATATGACTTAGTGACTAAACAACAACAAAGGCCCAAAGGGTAAGGTACAAAGTGTGACCCATGAGGAGATGTGAGATCCTCCAAAATGACTGCATGATTTGTCCAATTTATAAGGACAGAAATCTGGGTGATATGTGTGGGATAATGGAAGGAACAAAGTTGGATCAGACTGAAATTTTTAATATGTGCACACTAAGCAGATTCTGAATTTCATGTTGCCACTTGAGGGGTTAGGAAGGGTACAAACAGTGTATTTGGATGGTTGGCTGGAACATGAACCAAATCGCAGCCCACATAAATGCAGGTGGAATTCCAAGACTGCTTTAGTGTACTACAGAGAAAGGTATCTGAAGGCTTAGGGAGATTGGAATGTTAAGAGTAGATTTATCATGAAACATCTGCTCACTCACACCACGATGGTCCAGAGACACACCAGTCATGACAACTGTGACAAATAAATTTGTGAGGGGGCCCCTGATAATCTATGATTGTTCTTCACTGTAGGTCAGAAATTTCAGTGGGAACTGCTGCCACTGAACTGGAAAACCTAAATGCAGTGGGAGTAATTGGAACCTGGGGTGAAGTGAAGTGAAATGAAGTGAAGTGAAAGTTGCTCAGTCATGTCCGATTCTTTGTGACCCCACGGACTATACAGTCCATGGAATTCTCCAGGCCAGAATACTATAGTGGGTAGCCGTTCCCTTTTCCAGGGGATATTCCCAACACAGGGATTGAACCCAGGTCTCTCCCATTACAAGCAGATTCTTTACCAGCTGAGCCACAAGGGAACTCCAAACCTGGTGTGGCATGGGCCAAATGGAGGCACTGGATTGCCAAATACAAGGTGGATGTGGTTAGCACAGGGTCAGAGTAGTAATCAGGACAGTCCAATTCACAAATAAGAGTAGAAATTTTTATAATACTGTTTTAATTCATGCTATAACTCATTAGACTTCAAACATCTTTCAAAACAAACCTTTACCTTGTGTGTGTGTATGCTAGGTCACTTCAGTCATGTCCAACCCTTTGCGACCTCATGGACTGTAGCCCACCAGGCTCTTCTGTCCATGAGATTCTCCAGGCAAGAGTACTGGAGTGGATTGCCATGCCCTCCTCCAGGGGATCTTCCCGACCCAGGGATCAAACCCCTGGGTCTCTTACATCTCCTGCACTGGAAGGTGTGTTCTTTACCACTAGCACCACCTGGGAAGCCCAAATCTTTACCTTGGTGTTTCATTATTTAAGAGAGAACGTTCTTTGAAGCCAGCAGAGTTAGGACAGTCTAAGCAGGGCAGAAACAGTGTATGAACATTTAGCAAAGGACAGTTATCAGATATTTAAGAAACTATGCTACACACCCATATATTTATGTGTTATATGTCTATACCTCTCTCCTTCTAACACTATATGAGAATGGGGGGATAGCATTAAATATAACACCTGTTTCAGAGTGGTTCACCTGCTCACAGACATGCATATAAACAAATTAACAGCAAAAAAATAAAAGAATATTGAGTATTTACTATACACCAGACACTGCCCTGGGCACTTCAGATGAATTAATCCATTTAATCTTCAAACCAACTCTCTCCTCTTATTCCCCGTAGCAGTCAAGGAAGCTGAGCTTTGGAGAGGTAAAATTCCAATCACACAGCTAGTAAGTGGCTTAGTTATTCATACAACAAGTGGCCAGTTAAGAGATTTAAACTTCTTTCTCTTATGCTATCCTACTACCAGACAGAAAAAAAAAGCGTACATGTCTTTAATATATATCAGATAGGGATGAACCAAACCTTCTGTGCTGTCAAAAAGGTAGTCAGTCTGATTCACAGAGACTTGTGAGTTTGGCTAGTTGATCATGATTTCCATAGGAAACAAATAGGTAGGCAATCTACTAAAATCTTACTTGATCTGTACAAGGAAAAGAGTTCTAGGTCAAGTGAAAAGAAGTCTAACTTGAAACATACAAACACAGAGTCCCAGCTCCTCAATCAACTCTCAGACTTGAGTCAGTTTATACACCGAGAATGAACACTTCTGAATGAAGGAGAGGCTGGGACCCTGGAGGAACGAACACATGACACTGCCAAAAATTCACACCACTAATATTTCTCCCAACTTCTCCTAAAAGGACCTATAGCCCTTTGCCAGGGTACCTCTGCATTGGGGAAAAAAGTAATGAAGCTTTCCAGATATTACCAGACAGGACACTGGCTCTGATCTGACACTAATTCCAAAAGACCCAAAACATTACTGTTGCTCACCAGACAGAGCAGGGGCTTATAAAAGTGAAGTGATCAATGGAGTTTTAGCTCAGGTCCATCACACACAGTGAGCTCAGTGGATTCCTAAACCCATCTTGTGGTTATTTTCTCTGGTACAGGAATGCATAATTAAAATATTCAGCAACTGGCAGTATCCTCATATTGGTCTCCTGACCTAAGGAGTGAGGCCTCTTGTGGTGGAAAATGCCAAGTGGAAGCTATTAGAACTGTCTCCATCTAGGAAAACAGTAAACCAAAAGCAGTACTGCTTTCCTGAGGGATTGCAAAGGTTAGTGTTACCATCAAGGACTTGAAAGATGCAAGGATGTGATTCCACTACATTCAACATGCCTATTTGGCCTGTGCAGAAGACAGATGGATCTCGGAGAAGGACAGTGGATTATCATAAACTTAACCAGGTAGTGTCTCCAATAGCAGCTGCTATACCAGATAGTTTTGTTGCTTGACCAAATGAACACATCCTTTGATATTTGGCATGTATATATTTATCTGGCAAATGCCTTTCTTAAAAACAGTACTGTTAGCAAAGACCAGCAAAAGCAGTTTTCTTTCCATTGGCAAGGCCAGCTATATACCTGCACTGTCCTGCCTCAGAGGTAGCTCAACTCTCCAGTCCTATGTCGTAATTTAACATGTAGGGATCTTGGGCAATTTTCCCTTCCACAAGACATCACATCACATGTCTGTGTGCTCAGTCGCTTGTCATGTCTGACTCTTTGAGACCCCATGGACTACAGCCTGCCAAGCTCTTCTGTCCATGGGATTCTCCAGGTAAAAATACTGGAATGGGTTGCTGTGACCTCCTCCAGGGGATCTTCCCAACCCAGGGATCGAACCCATATCCCTTACATCTCTTGCACTAGTAGGCAGGTTCTTCACCACCAGCGCCACCTAGGAACCTCACATTGGTCCATTACATGGATATTATGCTGATTAGACCTAGTGGACAAGAGTGAGAAATTACTCTAGACATATGGATAAGACATCTGTGTGTCAGGAGATGAGAAATGAATCTGAAAATAAATTTAGGGGCCTTCTATCTGTGAGATTTCTAGGGGTTCAGTGGTGGGGGGCTTGTTGAGACACTCCTTCTAACCTCTTGAAGAATAAGTTTTGCATCTGGCTTTTCCATAAGTAAAAAGAGGGCCAACACCTAGGGCCTCTTTGGACATCAAAGGCAACACAGTCCTTATCTGGATGAGCTACTCTGGCCTATTTACTAGGTGATTCAAAAAGTTGCCATTTTGAGTGGAGATCAGAATAGGTGAAAGCCCTGTGTGACACGTCCAGACTGCCTTACAAGCCACCCTGCCACTTGGGTCACATGACCCATCAGATCCAGTGGTGCTTGAAGCGTCAGTGACACAGGGATGGAGCTTTTGGCAGTTCCCCTGAGATGAATCACAGCACAAGTCCTAGGATTTTAGAGCTAAGCTCTGCCATCCTCTGCTCTCCTGAGAAACAACTTTTGGTTTGCTACGAAGCAAACGGTAGACCTGCCTTCCAGTGCTGCTCGTAAGGGGCCCAAGTTCTTCTGATGGAGGCTCAGCCTATGGATGGTGTGAGGCCAGGAGCCACCCTTGGAGCACTGAGACTGGGTATTCCCAGAGTTGAATTGCTTGAGAATGTGCCCAAAGTAGGCAGTAAACTCCATGTAATCTAAATATTGTTGTTGTTTAGTTGCTAAATCATGTCTGACTCTTTGTGCCCACTGACTGTAGCCCGCCAGGCTCCTTTATCCATGGGATTTCCCAGGCAAGAACACTGGAGTGGGTTTGCCACTTCCTACTCTAGGGGATCTTCCCCACCCAGGGATCGAATCTGCATCTCCTGCTTGGCAGGTGGATTCTTTACAACTGAGCCACCAGGGCTTGGTGTAAGGATAAATAAAAGGAAGCGAAAGTGTTAGTTGCTTAGTTGGGTCTGGCTCTTTGAGACCCCGTGGACCTGACAGGTTCCTCTGTCCATGGAATTCTCCAGGCAAGAATCCTGGAGTTGGTAACCATTCCTTTCTCCAGGGTAATCTTCCCAACCCTGGGATCTAATGCCAGGTTCCTGCATTGCAGGCAGGTTCTTTACCATCTGAGCCACCAGGGAAGACCCAAAGCTAAATACTGGAACAAAACTGATGGTCAACAAGTAAGGGAAAGCTGAAGACAGAGTTCAACAGAGCATGTCACTGTTAAAGAGATGTGACCTCACATCCTATGTGGTGACCTTACACCCTCAACCCTGGGTGGTGGCCTTGCCCTCTTAGCCCTGGAATAAATCCGGTGGCTCACCTTCTGGAAGAAAGAGGTGACAGCTTGTCACCTTGCATCTTCCTCGGCTATGCTCTCTGGGCCTGTGGTGGCAGTGAGAGCTCTGCTGGCTTCTGAACCATTTGGAGGGTCATTCATCGCTTTTCTTAAAAGATATTCACAGCCAAATGGCTTTACTCGCCTATTTCCTGGCTGGAGAATCCCAGAAACCCAGCCTTCCTTCCTTCCTTTTTCCTGCCTCTGCCCTGTTCATCCCAAGCTGGCAGTGTTTCTGCTGAGATGGCTGATTGGATCTACAAGTCACATGCCTAATCATTTTAGCAACTGGTTCTCCAGCCACACACTTGGTGCCCTTTCCAGAATACATCTCGCTTTTTGCAATATGGATAGGCTGAAAATTTTTTTAATCTTCATGCTATAGTTCCTTTTTACTAACGATTCCTTCTTCAAATTCTCTCTTTCCTCTAGCATTTTACTATAAGCATTAAGGACAAATCAAGTCTCGCTTTTAACACTTGGCTTAGAAATCTCCTCAGTTAAATATCCCAGTTCATCACTTACAAGTTCTTTCCACCCAAGAGAACAAAATTCAGCCAAATTCTTTGCCACTTTATAAGATTTACCTTTATACCAATTTCCTACAACATATGCCTATCTTCCATCTGGCAGTGTGTGTGTGTGTTCACTTGTATCCTAATCTTTGTGACCCCATGGACTGTATCATCTGAGATCTCACCAAAGACACCTTTAACATTCCTACTTCTACCACAAGTTTCTTTGAGGAAATCTAGACTTTTTCTATCAAGCACCTACAAATCTTTCCAGCCTCTACTTGCTGCCCAATTCAAAGCCACTTCCATGTCTTTTTAGGTGTTTCTTATAATATCACTCCACTTCCCAGTAGAGAAAGTTGCAGGTTCCTAGGGCTATTGTAACAAAGTACCACAAACTGGGTGGCTCAGAACAACAGGAGTTTCTTGTCTTGCGGTTCTGGGGGCAGGAAGTCCAAAATCAAGGTGTCAGCCAGGTCATGCTCTTTTTGAAGGTGCTAGGGAGGGAAAGGTTCCATGCCTCCCTCCTGGTTTCTGGTGGCCTCCGGCACCTCTTGTCCTATAGATGCATCCCTCCAATCACATGGTCATCTTTTCTTTGAGGGCCTCCGCACAGTCTCTCTCGAGTGTTTGTGTTTGTCTGTGTCTACACTTCTCTCTTCCATAAGAGTGCCAGTCATATTGGTTTAGGGCCCAACTAATGACCTTGTTTTAGCTGGATTACTTCTGGGAAGATCCTATTTCTAAATAAGGTCACAGTCAGAGACAGTGCGGTTTAAGACATTAACACGTTTTCTTGAATGGACAACACTTTACCCATGAGGTTCCTCGCAGATTCACATTCTGGCTAGGCTTACCCAGTGAGAGGAGGTGGCTGTAGATTTCCAACATCACATCCTGGTACAGGCGCCTCTGTGCAGAGTCCAGATGCTGCCACTCCTCTCTGCTGAAGTCCACAGTCACGTCCTCAAAGGACACTGACACCTGTAAACACAATCCCATTCAGGGTGACTGAGTCAGCATGGGGGGATAGGGGAAAGAAAGGAAAATGCTTTTAGGATTTTTACCATAATACCCCATAGGCTATGCCTTTTAAATACCTACTTACGTGTAATGTATAGAATAAAAATATCTACTCATAAATTTCTGCCATCCATTGGATATGAGTCTTTCATTTTAAAAAATGAATTTTCATTAGTTTTCTATAGTAGTATATAAATACTTATACATAGTAGTGTGTATAGCTGATTCACTTTGCTGTACAGCAGAAACTAAAACACTGCAAAGCAAACATACTCCAATAAAAATAAAGAAAGTGATCGAAAGGGAAAAAATGGTAATTTTGTCCAGGATTTGAAGTTTATCTTATTTAATTGCTCATGTTAATGGGAAGTTAGTGTTTTATTGCTTTTTGAAGGAGGCATGTATGATTGTGCTGGGTCTTTGTTCCTGTGTGTAGGCTTTCTCTAGTTGTGGCAAAGTGGGGGCTACTCTCTAGTTGTGGTGCAAGAGCTTTACATTGCAGTGGTTTCTCTTGTTGCAGAGCACAGGCTATAGAGTACACAGGCTTCAGTGGTTGGGGTTCACAGGCTCAGAAGTTGTGTCTCTCGGGCTCTAGAGCAAGGGTTCAGTAGTTGTGGCGCACAGGGGCAGATGAACGTGCTCTCCTGCCTTGACTAGCCAACTATTAACCACTGGACCACCAGGGAAGTTCAGCATGTACACTTTTTTCTCACTTTACATAGTGCCCTGTACTACTGCTTTCATTTAGCCTTCAAAAATATGGGCATTTTCTCTGATGCCCTTTTGTTTGATCAATTTTAATTCCACAGTTGCCAGAAAACACACTCTGTATATTTCAACACGTGGTCTATCTAGAAGAATGTTTCAGGTGTGCCTAGAAAAGAATGTATATTCAGCTACTGATAGGTTCAGTGTTCTCTAATATTTAAATCAACTTGATTGAGTGTTGTTGATTTTATATCACTTTACTCATTTGTCTTCTACTTCTTCAACCAATTATTTGTCGACTTCTGTTAAAAACTGAAACAGAGATGTTAAAAGTTCATATGGCTATGCAAAGGAACTAGAAAACACAAAGCAAGGATTAGCTTGGAGGATTTATACTATGTAATATTAGGACTTATTATAAAGTTACAATAATTCAGACAGAATAGTATTGATGTAAGTAGAGACACATATATCAGTGAAACAGAACAGAGGGTTCAGAAACAGAGTTGCACATATATGGACAACTGTTTTTTGACTAAGGTGCAAAGTGCTTCAATGCAGGACAGGAAAGTCTTTTTTAAAAACTGCTGGAACAAATAGATATAATAAGTTTTGGAGGAAAACACAAACCATGATCCACACTTCACACCATATACAAAAATTAACTCAAGTGTTCTCACCACATTCACAAGCACACACACAAAAGTAACTCTGTGTGGTGATGGATGTGTTAACTAACTTGATTGTGGTATAAAAACAGACATACAGATCAATGGGACAGAAGAAGAAAGTCCAGAAATAAACCCACACATTTACGGTCAATTAATCTATAAGAAAGGTGCCAAGAATATAAAATGGGAGAAAGGACAGTGTCTTCAATAAATGGTTTGGAAAAATTGGACAGCCACATGCAGCAAAATGAAACTGGAACACTCTCTTACACCCCCACAAAAGTTAATTCAAAATGGATTAAAGACATAGCCATAAGACCAGAAACCATACAACTTCTAGATGATAACATAGGTGGTAAGCTCCTTGATGTAAGTCTTGGAGATAAATTTTTGGATTTCACACCCAAAGCAAACACAACAAAAACAAAAATAAACTGTGGGAATATGCCAAACTAAAAAGTCTATGCACAGCAAATAAAAACCTTCCACAAAATGACAAGGCAGCTTACTGGCTGGGAAAAATATATGCAAAGCCTATGTCTGATAAGGGGTTAATATCCAGAATATGTGGGGCTTCCCTGGTGACTCAGATAGTAAAGAATCTGCCTGCAATGCAGGAAACCCAGGTCTGATATCTGGGTTGGGAAATTCTCTTAGAGAAGGAAATGGTTACCCACTCCAGTATTCTTGCCTGGAGAATTCCATGGACAGAGAAGACTGGTGGACTACAGTCAATGGGGTTGCAAAGAGTGGGGCACGACTGAGTGACTAACACAACAACAACAAAATCCAAAATATATAAAGAAATCATACAACTCAACAGCAAAAAAAAAAAAAATCTGATTAAAAAGCAGTAGAGGATCCGATGAGACATTTCTGTAAAGAAGACACACAGCTTCCGAGAGGCGAGCGTGTTTTCTCGCGGGCGGTGGATGGGCTACCGCCGCGGGCGCTGGGCGCCTGTGCAGAGTCTGGCGCCTGACTGTCCCCGCCCCCGCCCCCCCAACTCCAGGCCGGGTTCGAGGTGCAGTGAAAGTGCGAGGAACCCATGGAGTGGAACAGCGGGCTGGAGGCTGGGCCGGAAGCGGAGCTGGAGGAGGGGGAGCCCGAGGTGAAGAAGCGGAGACTCCTGTGTGGGGAGTTTGCTTCCCTCGCCAGTTGCGACGCTGCTGTGGCTCAGTGATACCTGGCCTAGAACGACTGGGAGATGGAAAGAGCGCTGAACCGGCCGTGGAGGAGAGCGCTTCAGAAAGCCGTCCTGAGTCCCCCTCTGAGCCCGAGTCCTGTGTTGACCTAACCAAGGAAGAGACAAATGATTCCGTTCGTTCTGAAACCAGCACATCTGAAGATAAAAGTGTTCAGCAAGAAGATGGCAGCGTATTCTCTTTCATTACCTGGAATATGGATGGATTGGACATGAACAATCTGCTAGAGAGGGCTCGAGGGGTGTGTTCATATTTAGCTTTGTACAGCCCTGATGTGATATTTCTACAGGAAGTTATTCCCCCATATTATGCCTACCAAAAGAAGAAAGCAAGTAGTTACGAGATTATTACAGGTCATGAAGAAGGATATTTCACAGCTATAATGTTGAAGAAATCGAGTGTGAAGTTTAAAAGCCAAGAAATTATTCCTTTTCCAAATACGCAAATGATGAGAAACCTTTTGTGTGTGCATGTGAGTGTGTCAGGAATGGAGCTTTGCCTTATGACTTCTCATTTGGAAAGCACCAGAGGGCACGCTAAGGAACGAATGAATCAGTTGAAAATGGTTTTAGAGAAGATGCAAGAGGCTCCAGAATCAGCTACAGTTATATTTGCTGGAGATACAAATCTCAGGGATCAGGAAGTGAGTGATGAAGTTACCAAATGTGGTGGTTTACCCAACAACATTTTGGATGTCTGGGAGTTTTTGGGCAAACCTAAGCATTGCCAGTATACATGGGATACACAAATGAACTCTAATCTTGGAATAGCTGCTACTTGTAAGCTTCGTTTTGATCGAATATTTTTTAGAGCCTCAGCAGAAGGTTGGCCACATTTTTCCCCAAAGTTTGGACCTGCTTGGGCTGGAAAAACTGGACTGTGGTAGATTTCCCAGTGATCACTGGGGTCTTCTGTGCAACGTAGATGGAATATTGTGAACTGCTTTTCTTTTTTTTTTTCAGTTCTACTATTATTTATTTTTTAAAATATTTTTAAAAAAATATAATTTTTTTACAATATTTTCAACTTAAACACTATTCACACTGAACACGTATGGCAGTTTAACCTACCCAAATAAGAAGTTTAAGAAGCCAAAACTGTTCTAGGTTTGTTAAAAGAAAAGTTGTGCTGCAGACTATTGTAGTGATGGTTAACAAAGCAAGGAAAAGCACCAATGAGAATCCTCATGGACAGAGGAGTGTGGCAGGCTACAGTACAGTCCACGGGGTTGCAAAGAGTCAGACATGACTGAGCAACTTTCACTTTCATTATGCAAAACAATACAGAGCTTCCTCAAAGACTAAAAACAGAACCACCATATGATCCAGCACTTCTACTTCTGGGTATCTACCTAAGAAATGAATACATTAACTTAAAAAGATAGATGCACTCTCCTGTTCATTGAAGTATTATTTTTTTAAAGATTGGGTTTTATTTATTTTGGTTATGTTGGGTCTTGTTTGCAGCATGTGGGATCTTTGTTGCATCATTCAGGATCTTCCTCAAGGCATTTGGGCTCAGTAGTTGTGGTGCATGTGCTCTCTAGTTGTGACAAATGGGCTTAGTTGCTTTGCGGCATGTGGGATATTAGTTTCCTAACCTGGGATCAAACCTGCATCCCCTGAATTGCAAGGAAGATTATTTACCACCACACCACTAGGGAAGTCCCTACAATATTATTTACAAGAGCTAAGATATAAAATCAACCTAAGCATCCATAAATGGAGAAATGGATAAAGAAAATGTGGTATACATACACACACACAATGTTATTTAGCCGCAAAAGAAGGAAATCTTGCCATTTGTAACAACATGGATGTACCCTGAGAGCATTATGCTAAGTGAAATAAGTATGTTCAGTCGCTACGTCATGTCCAACTCTTTTCCAACCCATGGACTGCAGCACGCCAGGCCTCCTTGTCCTTCACTATCTCCCAGAGTCTGCTCAAACTCATGTCCACTGAGTCAGTGATTCCATCCAGTCATCTCATCCTCTGTCACCCCCTTCTCCTTTTGTCTTTAATCTTTTCCAGCATCATGGTCTTTTCCAATGAGTCAGCTCTTTGCATCAGATGTCCAAAGTATTGGAGCTTCAACTTCAGTATTGGAACTTCAGCATCAGGCCTTCAGTGAATATTTAGGGTTGATTTCCTTTAGGATTGACAGGTTTCATATCCTTGCAGTTCAAGGGACTCTCAAAGAGACTTCTCCAGCACCACAATTTGAAAGCATCAATTCTTTGGCACTCAGCTTTCTTTATGTTTCAATTCTCATTTCCATACATGACTCCTGGGAAGACCATAGCCTTGTCTATATGTACCTGATATATGTGGTCCACTGGAGGAGGCAATGGAAAACTACTCCAGTATTCTTCCTATGAGAACCCAATGTACAGCACAAAGAGGCAAAAAGATGTGACACTGGAAGATGAGACCCCCAAATCCATAGGCCCCTCTGCTACTGGGGAAGACTGGAGAAACAGCTCCAGAAAGAACGAAGAGGCAGGTTGTGCATGCATCTGGTGGTGAAAGTAAATAATGATGCTATAACAATA